CGGCCGCCGCCACGATTGGAGAGCGATGCTCTTCTTTGGCTCCAGCACCAAAGGATTCCAATGCCTACCGATGCTGCAAGGGACAAAAACATAAGTGACGTTGAAATCTGACTAAAATAGGAAAAAACTGAGGAATTGATAACTCACCTCAGCGCCATCGGGTGACAGATGCATTTGGGGATGAATCCCCCGACCCTTGCTCTGCCTCGTCAGAACAGGGGCCGTTTCGAGCCCGCCCCCTACTCCTAGGCAGAGGGGCTCGCCCCTAGTAGCTCCTGGGGTACATTGGAGGAATGCCCGTTCCCCATGGCTCTTAGGGCACCACGGCAGAGCCACCCGCCTCTGTTGGGACCTCGGGCGCGATGATAGAGCCACCCGACTCTGTTGGCTCCTGGGGTAGGCCAACGGTACGTCCCGCCTCCATCGGTTCCTAGGGGGCGCCGTCGAAACGGCCCGACTCCGCTGGCTCCCTAGACGTGCCCTCCCCTTCATGGAACGGGAAAGGTCCTGACGCCTGCAAGGACGAACCGACGCCTATCAGCGCATCCTCGTTCTCCAGGTTGTCCCACTTAATATCGTCAGCTACCATTTCTTCTTCCTCCATCACTTCATCGTCATCACCATCGTTATCATCATCGTCGTCATCAGTGTCCTCCCCTCATTCCCGCGCCTGTAGCTTCCGCTGCTTCTTCCTCTTCTTGTCCTCCTTCGTCTTCCTCAGCCGCTCGCCCTTAGTGCGATTCGCCACCCTCACGACCGAATCCCTCGGCAGTGGCGCCGGGTGATCTATGAGGATGAGGTCCCTTGGCTGGTCTCGCCCCTCTCAAAGTTAGTCTCACGGGGTCGCGAAATCAATTGAAGAGAAGGCAAGAGAAAGGGAAACTTACGAAGACAACATAGCCTGGCACCGACCACATCGGAGGATGCCTCGGCACTGGGTAGACGAAGTCGAGGGTGGCACCCGCATCGTCCCACAAAGGCTCCATCACCTCCTTGATGTGTTGCGTGATCTCGGAGTTGGGGAGCGTTCCCTCGGTGAGCATCGTTCTGTCGAACGACGCCTTAGGCACCATCGCATATAGCGGAAGCACGTGCGTCATCAACGGCGCCACCCTCCTCGCGTGGTAAGCTCTAATGACGCCCGACCCTTTTAGGCTGTTCTCCTTTAGGATGTGGATGGCGGCGATGTGGTCTTGGATCTTCTTCTTGTCCTTCTCCCGGACACCCCACTTCCTCCACTGCTCCGGGGCCTCTTCGATCAGGCACCCGGTGAACTCCGGCAGAAAGGTGGTGGCGTCATTCTTGAGGTAGAACCACTGCGAGTGCCACCCCTTATTGGATATCAAGAGCCGCATGGACGGGTACTCGCCGACCCGATTGTTCTTAAGTTGGATGCCGACGCACCCCATCGACATATGCAGCTCCTACCAGCCGCCCTTCTCCCTCTTCTTCTGGAGGTTGACGGCGAAGAAATACCTCCACAAGTCGAAGTGGGGGCTGATCCCCAGGAATCCTTCGCATAGCGCAATGAATGCTGCCATGTGCTAGATCCCATTGGGATTGAGATGCTGCAGCTCAATCTTATAGAAGTGCAACAGCCCCTGGAGGAATTTGTGGGCGGGGGTCGCGAGCCCACGCTCATGAATGTGGGCGAACGACACCACGTAGTCGTCGGGCGGCAACAATAAATCCTCATTGCCGAGCAGCAACCACTCCTTGGCGGAGGTCCACACGTGGAGAAGACCACGACGGACGAGGCCCTCCATGCGTTGGAAGGTGATGTCGGAACGGCACCACGGATCCATTGCAGGTGCGGGCGGATGGATGCGAGCTCAACGACGGCGAAGATGCGGAGGCAGGAAACCTAAGCATTGGTGGTGGCGGCATGGTTGTGGAGGTAAGGATGCAGGCGTGCGTATGAAACATAGAGGGCTAACCCTTTGATTTTATAGGGGTGACGGGTGCGAGGAAACCAACCGTCCACCTAGATCTCCCCGCCTACCACGACCTGTCATCACGTCTCGTCGTGGGGCGTGCGCACGCAACCAATGGCTGTCCCCACGGAAAATGCGTCGGACATTTCGCCTCGCCGGACAGGCCATGACCCATCATAGGTAAGATGGATACGGAGCCGAAGACACTCCTATGGCATGTCTAGGCCTAGGATTTCAAAGGTTGGCCCACCGACGAGTTTGACAACCGCTCTGGGCACCTTTAGAGTGAGGGGTGGAAAGGGATGGGCCCACTAGCACCAGTACTTGGGCGCACGAGCGCCGCAGGCGTCTCGCCCATGTTCGAGTCTCAGCCGGATATGATCTATGGTTTTCCTCGAAGAAAGGCAGAGAGCCCTTAGGACCGGACGAACGGACCCGAGAACTATATGGATTGACCGCTGAGAATCTAGAGTCGGTCACCAGCTGACCCAAGCTAGACGCCCATGAACGAGATGTCGGGGCCTCACTCGGACTAGCCCATTAACAGCCCACCAAGCACCATGATTCGTCCATAGAGAAAAATCATGGCACGACTCAGCCTCTCTGTTTTTATCGGAAAAACGCTTGGGGGAAGACGATCACAAAGACGAGCCAACCCTTGACCGGACCCCTACTACTGGGCGGGGGCTCAAGGAAAGTTGGACTCGCAAGGAGACCGAATGCGCGATCGTAGAACGATAGACCCCCGTAGGGGTCAGAATCAGGAAAGACATTTTCAACCTACCAAATCTCATGGCTATACCCCCGAGGGGTCCGATCACGACGAAAGGGAGTCGCCGTCCCCAAGACATGCCGTGGGCGATAAAAGAAGGCCAAGGCCCTCAGAGTCCTCCCGTTCAGAAAAGCCTCTTAAGGAGTATTCTACTCCTCCGCAGGCTTAGGAGCTATTGTCGGGGACCACCAATGCTAGGGTACCCGAAGAGGATGAGCTAATGGTCATCAATATTCATTTATCCGAGCAGTCAAGAGCGCGACTACAGCTCCAACCGACTCCTAGGTGCGTGGGCTCTGCCTCCTTTGACCTTTGGGGAGGGCTCCGCCTCGTCCGACTCCGAGGCCGTGGGCTCCGCATCGCCTGACCTCTGGGGGAGGGCTCTCCTCGCCCACCCGAGGCCACGGGCTCCGCCTCGCCCAACCTGAGGCCGCGGGCTCTACCTCGTCTGACCCGAGACCGCGGGCTCTGCCTCGCCCGACCCTAAGGCCACGGGCTTCCGCTTCGCCCGACCCTTGGGTGTGCGCTCCGCCTTGCCCGACCCTGAGGTTGTGGGCTCCACTTTGCCCAACCTTTGGGTTTGCGCTCCGCCTCATCCAACCCCTTGAGTGCGGGCTCCGTCTCGCCCGACGGGGTCCCATACCGCCGCCAACCACTCCAGGTCCAAGCATATGGGTCTGGGTCAAAACTCTGACACCAAGGAAGAGACTAGTATGACTCGATGTAACCCGTGGCCATGACGGGCCATACCTAAGGATTCACATCAAGAACAGCGTCGGGCGTGCAAGTGCTGTTCTGTCTAACCCTCGTATGAACGCTGACAGGCGCGTCAGTTCACCATGACGTCCGCCGGGACGGAATGTAATGCCATGACCGGTAGACGACGCCTGCGCATGGCGCCAGTGACGAACATGGCCGTGACGTGGAGCCGTCCCTATTGACATCTACATGATCACCGAGACCCACGTGAAGAAGAAGACGGACCCGGCGATCCTGAAGGCCTTCTTCTCTCTCGTTCTTCTCTTTTCCTTCGCTGTAACCCGTTGTTTCCCTTGGCCTATAAAAGAAAAAGCAGGTTGTCCCATGAAGGGGATCCGGTTCAAGCCGGATCGACCCATCGAAGACTGATCAAGATCTAGATCCGCAGGATCAGAACACGAGATTAACATACAAGAACACGACACGAGCACACGGCTGAGCAGCCACCGAGCTCTCAGCACCCATTCATTCTTTCCATCAGAGACTTGGGATCATTTCCCTCTCTTGCCTGTTTGTAACCCCTACTACAAACTTTCAGTGCTAATAACATGAGCACCAGTGGCGAACTGGACGTATGGACTTTTGCCCGAACCAGTATAAACCTCGTGTTTTATAAACACACCATCCGAGCCAAACGCGTAATACTAGAAATTTACTTGTCGGTGATAACTCGAAACACCGACACAAAGTCTTTAAACAAGTCTTCTACAGTAGTATATGGGTCCGTTTGGCAAAGATCTAAATTCTCGTATAAACGTTACAGATCCAGATTCTCTCAAGAAACATTTCAAATGGAGAATCAAAATCACTGAACCGTTTCGCTGCAGAATCAGAATCACTGTGAAACAACGTTTTGGCCTATTCACGTTTGTAGGCAGAAAAAGAGAGTCGCTTGGAACCGATTTTGGCCCTATTCTGCTGCACTACTTCAGCAGTATTTTTAGTGAACGAACAATGTTTTCTCTCATAATAAATTAATATAAGCATCAGCTAAATTTAAATTTAAGCGAAACAAACAGGGCCTGGCATAAACGTTTCATCTAAGCGTCGTTTGGCTTGGATTCTCCGGATCCACGTGAGAATCGAAACCGATTCAAGCAACCAAACACAACCATATCTTTTGAGACTCACATCTTATTCCAACTTATAAAACAGTTCCTCAAGCTTGGGCGTCTGGGGTACACTACACTGCACCTGCACGGTAACGGTACGAATGAATCAGAACCAGTTCATTCAGAAACGGGCTTGAATCCTTTTCGAGAAAATTTCGAATCGAATGGCTTAATAAAAGCTAAGCAGAAATGCAAAAAGAAAACGAGAAAAATACTTTTTGGAAGAAAAGCTCTCTGGTACCCGGTAAACAACCCCCGAAAGCGCCACCACCTGGCCGGCCGCGGCCGTACTCTCCCCGTCCACGAGACAGAGAATCCAGAACCAGGCCGGCGGGCCCCTCCCACCGCCGCCGCCGCCGCCGCCGCCTCCCCCGGCTCCCCGCACCACCAGACCGCGACGCGCGGAGGAGGGTGCGGCCGGCGATGGCGACGATGGCCGCGGGCGCGCCGAGGGCGCAGACGCTGCGGGACCTCGCGGAGGAGGGGAAGAAGCGGGCCGTCCTGCTTCTCGTCTTCGCCTTCGGGCTCGCCTTCCTCATGTCCCGTGAGTCCTCCGGAACCCGGATTTTCATGTCTCTGCCAGTTCCGACCTTCGCTTCTGTCCCCAGTGGGATGGGTGCGTGCGCGTCGGTGATCTCGCCGATGCGTTTCTCGGTCTCTAGTGCCGTGATTAGGGTTTATGCTGGCTGCCCATTGCGTAGTTTCTCAATTGGAGTTCGTGGTTTCGGCAATTAACCCTCCCAGATAGGCGGCTGCTGGTTTTTGAAGTCGTTTTACTTGTTCCTGCGGTGTTCTAGTTCGTTGCATTGTCCAGCCGCTGGCGCATTAAACTAACTTGCCCTTGAGTAGGTTGACTTTTTTTCACATGATTGGTCACTTATGTTGATACATGCTAATTGTTTGCTCAGTGGTAGTTTGTTTCTGATCTCTTGCATACAGTGCATGTCGTTTTCTCAATTCTATGGATTTCGTAGCTGAAATACATGTTACTAATAGTCCTGCATCTCATCCTAGACTGTATGGTAGAGTCTACTGCCAAGGACGTCAAGCATGATGCATGCTGGTTTAATTTGGATGCTCAAATACGCAGACGTTTGAAATGTGCCTCTTTGAAAGTTACTTCAGGGCTATGTTTTGAAACAAATTTTTATTGGGTACAAAACATTTCCCCTTGATTGAATTTTCGCTGAATAGTCAATTTCCCCCATTGCAGTTACGAGCTCGTCAGTATGGTTTAACCTGCCATGTGCCACAGCTCTGATTGTTTTGTTTCGCTACATATCGCTTGACTATGACCTTCGTAGAAAGAGCACAACTAGCACAGATCATGCCAGTCATTCACTTGTCAAAACAAAAAGTACTGAGGTAAAGAAAGTCCTCCATCAGACTGAAAATGATGGAAAATTAGACTGGAGGAGCAAGGTTAACTCGCCTCCAGTTGAAGCAGCATTTGAACAGTTCACAAGGCACCTTATCACAGAATGGGTAACAGATCTTTGGTACTCGCGTGTAACACCTGACAAGGAAGGTCCCGAGGAACTCATCACTATAGTTAATACTGTCCTTGGGGAGATTTCAGTTAGGGCAAGGAATGTTAACCTTATCAATCTGCTGATCAGGTAGGAAATCGTGTTTTTGTACAATAAATAATAACATAAATGATGTAATGTTTTCATAACATTAGACTTCTAACACTAAAGCATTCCCTGTCTTTTCCAGGGATTTGGTCGATCTTATATGCAATAATTTGGAACTTTATCATTTCTGTCAAGCCAAGATTGGAAGAGAGAAGTTTGTGAACCTTCCTTCAGAGCGTCGTGATGCTGAACTGAAAATGATCCTTCTAGCTGAAAACAAGTTGCATCCTGCTTTATTTTCAGCCGGTGCTGAATACAAGGTAAGACTTAGTTGACGGTGAAATTTTTAGGTATTCAACTATAAGGCATAAGCTTCATGTACTTCTTACTTCAAATATGACATGGAAATCCGGGCATGTGATAACTTGATTGCTGCTAGTTCAACATATATCTTATTATCTCTATGATAAACTTTATCACCATTCAATCTAGAATCACATTCAATCTAGAATCCTAGATCTATATGACTTCAATGCAGGCCATACATCTAGAACATAACACAATTTTCACAAGCGTTCAATACATAGAACATTGTTAGTTAATTGGTTGCTATGTTCTTTTGTAAATGTTCCCTTTCATCATTCATAATACATATATTCTATTATAATGTACAAGAATAGATGGATTTCCATGACCAAGTGCATGTTCAATACTTTAATATATAGATATTAAGCACTTCTGATAATTTTTTACATAATTGGATAATTAGATATCATATTTCACATTGTTCAGTCACATTTTATTTATTCACTTCGATAACACAACTCTTAATTCATGTCTTGATTGCACTTACATAAGATTGTTGGTGAGTTGATCATCATAGGAATATATCTCTTGCTCTATTGGCTGTGTATCTGTGTAATCATCAAAGGTCATCTGATGATTCTAGTATGTGTTTCCTTTCTCCAGGTATTAAAAAGTCTTGCTGATGGATTGATCTCAATCACAGTGAAGCCTCAGGATCTACAGTGTACTTTCTTCCGGTGTACAGCGCGAGAACTTCTTGCTTGTGCAGTTTTGAGACCTGTTGTGAACTTAGCAAATCCAAGGTAGTAACTCACTGGACCTGGTTCAAATAATTCTTTTTACTGTCACCATATTTAAATTTTAAATTTCAGGTTTATAAATGAAAGGATCGAATCCTTGGCTCTTTCGCATACTAATAAGCTGGAGAAAGGAGTTGCAGAATCCTTGGAGGATGCCACAACTGTTAAGCACGGGAAACCCCATATGCCCTCTATTGATGAATTTTCGGCACTGACAGATCACTCGAGTCCAGGTGTTGAACTCGTTCGATTTCATCAGGGCCAGTCCAAAACTGCATCAGATATACAGCCCAGTAAAAGTACAAATCCATATAGTCTAAAATTAGAATCCTCTCATGCTTCTTTGATCAGTAGTTTGCATCCACTGGAGTCAACAAGTTTAGCTTCATCTTCCCACGTTGCTTCGGATAATGGTTTTTCATTGCATACCAAAAGCAACAACAGAGCAACTGCAGATGGTCATGGTAGAGAGCGTGCACAGCCCTTGGGTATCAGCTCTGAGCGAACACATCAAGCTTTAGCACTTGAGCACCTTGAGAATATGTGGACAAAGGGAAAGAATTACAAATCAGAAAATGCAAAACATATCACAAAAGTGTCTGTTGGATCCGCTTCTCTAGGCTCGACTTCAGTTCAGCAATCAGTTCCTTGCAGCACTTCAATTTGTCAAAATCCTAGTAATTCTGAAAGACAAGCAGCGTCCGCTCAGTTGGAGGACCAGCATTTGGTAAGACACTCAACTGCACCTACATATCCAAATGGCATACCGAAAAGCCTATCTGCAGAAATGGCAGAGCATGCCGGCCCAGAAGACTTTGGAGTAGAGAGTGAGAGTTCATATGCCACTGAGGATGATGAATTCAACAATGTGACTGGACTTGATTCTCCTGTTACCAGAGTTTGGGAAAGCAAAAGTAAAGGAAATGCCACCTTATCACATATACATCACCCACTTGAGTCTCCTGGTTTCCATAGAGCAAAGAAGAATAGAAGTCATGTGGGAAAACTGAAAATGTCAAGAACTTCTTCAGGAAGAAAAAGGTCAAGGTCAAATGCTCAGAAGCCTCCCATCTGGCAAGAAGTGGAGAGATCCTCTTTCTCTGTTGGTGATGGTATGGACATACTAAATACATCTGCAAATGATTCAAAGACGGATGAGCTAGACGAGGATCCTGAGGTGGAAAGTATGGCTAGGATGTTTAGTAGTTCAAATGCCTCATCTTTATCATTGCCATCAAGTGACTCTTCATATGCTTCAAATTATCGTGGTGCCAATGTGCTACAAGACTCTTATTTGAAGTTAAGATGCGAGGTAGCGTTTATTCATTTGATTTATTTTGACTCTGATAATTACTGGTGGTGCACATCCTTATCAGATTTCCATATTCAGGTGGTAGGAGCTAACATTGTCAAAAGTGGGTCTGGCATGTTTGCTGTGTATTCTATTTCCGTGACCGATGCCAATGGTAATAATTGGTCCATCAAGAGGAGGTGGGCATACTGTATTTTTTCTTGTTCAGTGGGCCATGGTAGATATATTCAGATATGCTTTATTTTTTCCATGCCAAGTGTGTTTACTTGCTCTCTGTGGTTGCTGTTGATTAGGTTTCGTCATTTTGAAGAGCTGCATCGGCGTCTAAAAGAGTATGCTCAGTACAATCTTCATTTACCTCCAAAGCATTTCCTCTCATCAGGTTTAGAGGTTCCTGTTGTTCGAGAGAGATGCAAGCTGCTTGACATATATCTGAAGGTATTTGTTGTCCCTACTAGTTGAAGGAACTCTAGTTAAGGTCCAATTTTCTTCACATAATCACATTTCACTAAAATTTAAGTTTTAAGCACTGATATTTCTAAACAAAAATTCGTATCTTGGGCCTGCTTCATTTGAGTCATAGTTTACAACAGCTTCATCAGGGGCTAACAAGGTGCAGGCTGCAGAGCAATCTTGCAAGAAACATACATTTTCTTTGTTTTAGCTTAGGACTATAAAGGGTGCTGTGCTCCATCAAATTGCTCAAGAAAGACACGAGTCATTATTTATGTATTCAGGGATTGGTGCGTTTATTACTTTATTTCATAACATTCGCATAATTGGCATCTTGATCTTCAGTGGATCATATACTATGTATTTACTATTTAGTAAACATCAATGAAATTTACTTTCTGTTTTTCTGTTGCAGTATGGTAGTCTAACCTTGAAGTATGCATTTTCTGTTAGATCATGTTTGTTGCGCTTCATGATCTGTGATACAGATGTTAGCAGTTTTGTTTAGAAAAATCTTACATCATCGTAACTTTGTCCACTTGTTAATTCTACAGAACCTTCTGCAAATTCCTATTGTTTCAAGCTGCATAGAAGTCTGGGATTTTCTTAGTGTGGATTCACAGGTTAGTTGCCTTATTTAACTCTTATCATCTCAATATTTTCAAAACTGATATTTAATAAATTGGGAAATGTCTCTTTGCAGACATATATTTTTGCAGACTCTCTCTCAGTTATCCAAACATTGTCAGGTGTGTTGGCCTGAATGACTAATTCTTCGTAAAATCCCTGTATTTTTTTCACTATGTAACTCCAAGTTCCTGTTATCTTGCAGTCAGTTTAGATGAAAGATCAAATGGGAAAAATATAAAAGCATTGAACTCTTCTGGAGCTTTGAATGGGAATTTAATCTCTGGAGGTCAATCTTTGCATGGACATATAGACGACACTGTACATAAGGATTCGGACATTGCTGGTGCTGGTTTGAGATTTAGGAAAGGGAATGTGAACAAGAACTTAGGAAACAGTGTTAGCCACACAACAGATAGTGTTAGAGACACAACTGCCAATCATTATCAGGACAATTCTGGAAGTGATCCAGAGCAGAATGATCATTGCTTTTCAATAGATGCAGTAAATCCTAAGAAGCTGCGTTCAAGTGAAACCAATGACACATCTCCAATTTCAGAGTCTGATGGATTCTCGGTCTCTCCTAATGATGTAGGTTACTAGGTTCTATTTATTTTCTATGAACTTGTTGCTACTAAGATCCCAGATTTGAATCCATTAACAGTATTTTTTTTAATTAGCCTGCCTGCCTTCCTGATAACTTCAAACATATGCCATTGCAGTGGATGGCCCCAAATCTTAGTGTCCCCTTGTTTCATCTTGTTGATGTGGTTTTTCAGCTCCAAGATGGAGGCTGGATAAGGTGAAATAACCCTACACCCATCATTATGGTCTTCTAACATTTTGTATCTGTAGCCCCGATGGTTTGCAAGTCTAGATTTAACTCTGAGTTTCTGATTTTTGTAGGCGTCAAGCATTTTGGGTAGCAAAACAAATACTGCAATTGGGAATGGGAGACACATTTGATGACTGGCTTGTTGACAAAATCCAATTACTTAGGAAAGGGAGGATAATTGCTTTTACTGTTAAGCGTGTTGAACAAGTAAGTCTCAGATTGTATCTTTAGCCAAAAAAAAAAGGTTCAGACAATTAACAGTTTACAGAGGGAGAAATATTATGGTGCAGTTAGGCAGTCTCATTGAATACCTGTTATAAACGGATCTTTTGTGCAGGATTGCCCCATAATTTAGTCTGTAATTTTCTTTGCATACAGATTCTCTGGCCTGATGGAATTTTCATGACAAAACATCCAAAGAGAAAAATGTCTCCACCTCCTGGTGCTCAGAGCGATGTCATGGGAAACTATCTAAGTGATGAACAACGGATAGAAGCTGCTCATCGTGCAAATTTTGTCCGTGAATTAATAATAGGTGAACACACGATATGTCTCTTTTATTTTTCTAACATTATGTGTTGCATTCCTTTTTAACAGATTTTTTGCTTGAATGATTTGTGATCACTGATCAATGCAATCTTCAGAGTTTAATTTTTACCATCTTATTGCCTTGCTGCACAGATAAAGCCCCATCTCCACTGGTGAGTCTGGTTGGTCGAAAGGATTATGAGAGATGTGCTCAGGATATCTATTTCTTTCTTCAGGTTAGTATTCTTGGAGGAGTGACATCATATTGTCTGTTAATTTACTTTTTACTGAGTTCCGTGGAGTGTGGGTTCCAATATGGTAGAAGCTGACCTGTATTGGTGGCCCCTTAAGGTTCTCTTGCAGTAGACACTGCAAATTTCATATTTTTCCATAATTATTGCCTGACACCAAAGCCACCCTCCCATTTGGTGGTCTCAAATTCTCTGTCATGCAAGAGCGTGGCTGAGCCCCACGGTGACCAACTCAACCAGCTATCCTATTATAGATTGAGAAGTTGATTCAGGCTCCATACCTGGAGTTCCTTCATGGTTCAAGCAATTAAATAGCCGCATAAAGTTAGTAAAAAATACGGTTCTCCAATGCCTGCATCCTGGCATGCATCCAGTCAGACTTTTGAACCTTTGAGTACTAACAGATAGGAATATGGATTTACGTGGACCACATGAAAACAGCGTGAGGAGATTTATTGCAAATTTGCTTTATTGTCCTTAACAAAGTAGTGTATGTTTTTCTAATGACTACAGATGTACAGTTAGTGATCTCAATTATTTCTGTGGAAAGTAGTAAGCAACATGCATTTGAGAAACAGTAGGAAACTGCCTAAGATAAAAGAAGAGCAGCATCGGTTTGTCTGATTCTTGGCTTACATTTATATTTGGTTTTCCCGTACAGTCCCCGGTTTGTTTGAAGCAGCTAGCGTTTGAACTCCTTGAGCTGCTTGTTCTTTCCGCATTTCCGGAGTTGGATGGCACTGTGAGGAAGTGGCATGAAGATAAACAGCAATTCTGCGCCCAGTAATGTTTTCCTAATGATGAATTTGTCACGGAGCAACAGTTTTTCGAACACGCATTGTCTTTCCAGAGTGGTGGCCTGATTCTCTGTAAATAAGGTGGTTTTAGAGCACTGCTTGTCGATATCTCAGTTTGTAGTGGGTGGCTTCGTGCAGCGTGAATACGGTTAGATAGCAACGAGTGAAGGTGCGAGAATGGTCCCTTTTCCCCCTGGGCCATGGCAGGACGGTTTTGTGCCAGATAGGTTGTAGTCATTTTTCCTCCAGATTTGGTATACGTAATGCTGCCTGAAAGGAAAGAGGTTGGCGGCGCAATATTTTTGCCTTAGCGTAGGATGGATAGGTGGTTCTTTCTCAGTTTCTTTATATACTATTTTTCTTCTTCTTTTTGGTGGTACCCAACTCGTGTAAATCTGCATGGTGATCAATGAAGTTTCGAGGTGATCAATGAATGTGGCTGTTTGTGGTTGTTTGTAACTTGTCTGGTATCGTGATTGTATCGTGATGTTGGTTCCACCTTGCTCTACGTTTTTTTTATGCTGCCCCTGCGAACTGTATCGGCACTATTTTGTGATGATGAGAAAGAAGCGTGGTGGTGTTTTGGAGCATTGAGCATCATTTTTAAGTGGTTATTATAGCATCTTCAACAGATCACCAATACAACTCCCGTGGTGGTGTATATCACCAATACGGTAGTTAGGAGAATGGGAGAGCTAGAAAGTTCAAAATATTCTCTGTTTATGAGGAGTCGAGACAAGATTGGAGCAACTAAAAAGCATCAACTCTCCAAATATATAGTACTATTTTTTTACTTAAGAAAAAAAATACTTAAATTCCGTAGATGTTTGTTAAGAGGCAGGAAGAAAGGAACACGCGGGAGGAATCCGGGCCGGTTGGTCGTGGAAACCACGGACGAGCCGGCGGTTTCCGCCGCAAGTGCACCGTACCCGGCAACACCTCCGCGGATCAACCCGTTGGCTACCGGCCGACGGCGACCGGGAGCAGAGCACGGCCGAGAACGCGAGTCCAAGGAGGCAAGGGCGGACGCCATGGTCCCCACCGGCGAGCAGAGGTCGTGCTGACTGACTGCCGTGCCCTACCTATACATGCCCAAAGCGAGGACGTTTCCGGTCCGGCCGGGATTGTTGTCTGAACCTCTCCCCAAATCCTGTTGGATGCTTTGGTCGGATTCCCTGCTGCCCCTGCCTCTGAACCGTCGGCAGGAGCACTCTCCTGCCGCAGCCGTGACTCGGAGCGTACAGTGTACGTACGTGCACTGACAAAGCGTAGTGTACCGCATGCGCACGTAGCGACGTTGTACGCCCGTGGATCGTCGGCATGCATGGTTTATGTCCGGGCGAACTTGTAGGCTAAGCTAAGCACACGTACCTAGCTAACCTACGCATGCGTAACGATCGGCTCTTGACACGACGCTCGCTGTTGTTCCAGCCGCGCGCCCGGGTCGGAGTCGGACAGCCGTGTCCGTGCTTCCTTGGCCTTCGCGGTTGACTACTTACTGATCCCGTGATCCAAGACAAGGAGGAACAAAGCGCGGTTGCATTGCATTGCCCCCCGTGAAGCGCAAGCGAGGTGGCGCCTGCCGTCCTTGCTCCCAGCTCTGCCCACTGATTGACACAATGACACCTACGTGACGTGTCCTGCAGGTACGTGCTTCCACCAACTTTTTTTTTTAAAAAAAATTGGGGTGTCTGTTTTTGGAGGACCATATCACAGAAACTACTACTCCGATCCCTACATGTCATTCGAATTTTGAGATTCATTCTATCCGTAACGCAAGCAAGCGTCTCTCTTTGGAACGCATAATTTTAACTTTATTTATAGCGTTTTATTCATTGCAAAATGGTTCTTCTAATTACTAGATCTCCGTTGCCAAAAGCCCAAAACCACCCCATTGCATGTTAGCAAACAGCAAGGAAAACCTGTTCGAGGCTACTAAAGCTCTGCTGGGCACAGCTCCGCTTTGTTAGTAAAGCGGTTCTTTCTTTCTTTCTTTCTTTTTTCAAATCTACAAACAGTTTTACCCATATATAGAGCAAACACTTCTCCTATATTTCAGGTGTCGGAAATATAGGATTTGTGGTTTTGTCTAACGGTTTTTTATTCGAAACAAAAAATTGCAGATTGTGCCTGCAGAAATTGCAACAAACTAAAACTGTAATTTTAATATAAAATATATGAAAAAAATCTTGTCTGAAAGGAAACTAAAATTCAGGCACTTGAATTTTAGCAAATCCCGAATCTCACACAGGGGTCATAAAGCAAGTTGAAGATGGGAGAAGCAACTATTTTCAGCTTTCATCCCACACCAATATTTTTTTTTTGTGAGAGCACGTTTCAAAGAGCTTCACATGTGAAGCTGTTCTCGTTTAGCACAAAATAACTCCAACAAACAGGCCTAGCTAAGGGTGTTTTTGAGGTAAAAAAGCTCGCGCGCAGTGCATGTGCGGGCGGCGTATTAGGCTCCTTGACATGACATGTTTTACGAGACCTTTGTTTGGATTTAGCTCCGTCTGGATTGACTTGCGCCCAAATGACACTACGACTAATAACACAAGTGCTTATAACATATGACATTCGCCCTCCTGTTTCATTGGAGTTTGGAGGCTTGTGCAAGCGCGAGCGTCTCTAGTGTGTGGTGTGCCCTGATCATGCAGCATGTGTGATTACAAAATCTGAGACGCGCTGTCAACGTATGCTAAACAGGCCGTACGCGCTGCACTGCGTTGTCTCTCTGCGCTGGATGCAGATTAACTACGAACCGGCCGGCCTCGTTTTGAAATCAAAGGTGTCTGGATGGACGACGGGGAGCAAGCTGTACTGTACGTGTAGGGCGAACGACGTCCGTTTGCATGCATGCGTCTGTTCGATGTGGTCTCTTCTGATCTGCTGAATAGGAAACAAACTCAGGTCAGAAGCTGAAAAGATGTAGTACACACATACTCCGTACAAAGAAGATGCCTGTGCTCTCGTAACAGAACAATAGATATGTACGCCCTCCATCCGGAAAGAATATAATTATAGGATCCGTGTCGAACAAAGTAGCTTAAGTTTGACCAAATTTATATTAGATAGTATTAATATTTATGTCTCCAAATAAATTTATTATGAAAATATATTCTATAACTAATCTAATGATACTAATTTTGCATCAGGAATGTTATTATTTTTTATATAATTGTGGTCAAAGTTTAAATTAATTGATTTCTCGGGAAGCGAGAATTGCATTCTTTTGTGAGACGGAGGGACTACGCACTACACTAGCACGTAGTACCTTTCAAGTTAAACCATTGTTCACCAAACCGGCTGATTTGCTTGGTTTATATATATATATATATATATATATATATATATATATATATATATATATATATATATATATATATATACACACACACACACGTAGTAGTATGTGTAAAGTACATGTTGGTGCATGCAAGGTGTAAATGTAACAGCAAAATACTCTACGTACGTACAGTACTACGTAGCTAGCTAGCGAACATGCATGCTGGATTGCTTTGCTGGTGCGAGGCGTAGCAGCATCAGAGACATTTTTTTAAACCTCTGCCTGCCTGTTGGAGCTTTGCCTGATGCATAGCATATATAGGAGTATCTCGTTGCAGATTCCCTTGTCTTGCCCTCTGTTGTTTCCATGGAATTACTTATGCTGCCCTTGCTATCCTCTCGTCATTTCTTCGATCGGTAATGCGCCACTCAGCCACTGTGCTCGGTGGAGATTGGACTATCTGCTGGACGAGACGAGAGGAAGAATAGTAATCATGCATGGGAATCGCCACTCCGCCAGCACTGCCGGTGGACGACGGCGGCGGCACCGGCGCCGTCGTTCGTTCAGTAAACAGGCCGGGCGTGCCAGCCAGCCTGCAGGGAATATATAGCAAGTGCTGTACGGATCCTGCCTGGGGAAACATGCAATTCCATAAGGACAGTTATCATGTAATAATAAATAATCACATGAGGAGACTCAGTAGTCAGTAGTACTGAATCACGAATTCATACAGCATAACCTCTCGAATTCATCATGCTCATGCAGCAGTACCATACGCTTGTGCATGCACGTATGCGTATTATGCCGGCAAGTGCCCAAAGCTGTTCTACGAGCGAAGACCATCTCCATCTCTCTTTTATTTTTCCTCGCGCGCGCCTGCTGCATGCCCCGGCACGCCCACGAGGCCACGACCCGCTGCTGCCTGCCATCGTGCGCCGCAGGCAGGGGCAGCCGACGAGAGGCAACGAGGGCAGCAGCGACGACAAGGCAGCCAGCAGAGCGCAGTCAGCAGTGCCGTGAGCGCACAGCGTCGACGAGCAGTCTCAGTGGCGCGCGCGGGCGCAACACGGGGAATCGCCAGCCAGGCCCAGCCCACCAGGGCCCAGGGGGCAGCCAGAGCCAGCATTGCACTGCCACTGCTTGCTAGCTGACCGCCTGACCCAGGTGCCAATAGCATCACGTCAGGCTTCAGTGATCATCATGTTCTGTTTTTCACGACATTGGGCAGCCACTCGTGACGTGAGATTGCCAAAATTAATCATATTCCAGGCAGAAATTAATCGGATTCGCCTTGATCCACATGGGTTAGGGTGGATTAAAGTAGAACTTGAACTAAATTTCATCCTAATCCAAAAACACACGTGGATTGAGGTGCATCCAACAACAACGTCCAAACAAAGCCTTAAAATGACTCATAGATTCTTTTTCTATAGTGAAACATACTTATGTAAAATTGGGTGAATGAACAAGAAAAAATAAATAAATAAGACAAGGAAGTGTTTTTATTTAAGCCCCGCCATGCCATCACGAGACGCAGAGACCACAAGACAAGCAGGCCGGCGTGGGCGTGGGCGGCCAGCTGAGGCAAGCGGCTGGCGCAGATGCTCCTGCACACGTCGTGCGCCGCCACCACCACCTCGGCCACCGCCTTCGTCGGCCTCGCCACGACCACCAACGCCGCAGCAGAACCGCCTCGTCCTTCTC